GCATAGATGGATTTCACATCTTTTCCTCCAGTTTCTTTTGCATTGAGTTTAAATGCTTACCCTGTGTGCAGACTTGATGGAGTGGATATAATCCATCAATCACATGAATACCTAAATAAAAATCTTGTTGCACAAGATACACTGGTTTTCTACTGTAAAAAGTTTCCATTTCATGCACTAGTTAGTCATTTAATCACATTACAAGTTTCATAAAAAGTAAACTGGTGCAAAGTATTGTACTGAAAAGCCAAATAGGATTCTTGTCACAAGTCCTGCTTAAGATTTTTGTATTACAAACCTATACATAAAAAAAAAAAAAAAAAAAGGAAAAAGAAAAAAGGAAGTAGAGAAGCATGTAGAAGTATGTTGTCTCCCCTCCCCCATTTCAGTTAGTCAAGAAAATAAATGGATGCATGAAACTTAGCTCTCTGCTTGTTCTTTTGTTGTTCATGAACAATAGGGGAAAGCCTCTGACCCCTTGCTTTCTTATAGAAGCAGGGCAGAGATTATGGCATTTAACGGATTAGTACTTTTAAGTGCTACACTTCATTGCCAGAATTAGGGACCAAAGTTCAAAATGTGGATGAAGTTGCAAGTAGATGAAAGAGTCAAAAGCCCAAATGATACGGTTTGTTGGTAAATGGTTTCACATACATAAAAATCCCAAACTAAAGAGCAGGTTCAGCTAGTAGCTGATAATAGCAGTTGGTTACCAAAGAATTTTAGAACAATGAGGTTGGTAGGTGTATTCAGAGATTATTTACTCTACTTTCTCCTCCAAGGCAAGGCTAGTAATTTCTGAAGTGTGTTTACACAGCCTTTTAAAGTCTATCCTTAAAAACCTGCTCATTGTGATTCTGTGAACAGATCCCCTCAGCAATTAATGTGCTGATTATAGAATCATAGGCTCTTAGAATAGTTAGGGTTGGAAAGGACCTTAAGATCATCTAGTTCCATACCCCCTGCCATGGGCAGGGACACCTCACACTAAACCATGTCACCCAAGGCTCTGTCAAGAACCTTGTATTTTCAATGAAAAGTATTTTTTCCACCTCTGAATCTTTATTACCACAGCTTTATAGTCCTATGAGCTATTTTGCAGCCTGTTATTTCTTGACCACAAGGATAAGGAAAATAGTCTGTTTCCAAAAGCTTACACAGCTATGTTTATAATCTGGAAGATTTTTAGTTATGTTTGCTTTTACTTTTCTTTAGGGTACATTATGCATGACTTTCTGCCTCTCCTCATATGAGGTGTTTTCTAGATTTCTGTTTTCTCAAGGTTTAGTCCAGTATGTCTCTGCTGAATCATGTTGCCCCAAAGCAAGAAACAATGCGTCAGGTGAGCAGAGAGAATGGGAGGTTGTTCTTCTGGATGATACTGTCTTTTATATGTCTCAGGGTGATGCTTGGTCTTTTTTTCATAAGACTGTAATAGTAAGTTTAGTTTATTTGTGATGATTCACTGCTACTTCTCATGCATTTCTGAAGAAGTGCTGCCTAGCCAATGGCCCCTTATCTAGCAGATTATTGTGTATGCAGAGCTTGGTATTTTTTATATCCTCTTTTTTTCTGACCGTCTCTGCAGTTTATCGAGAGCATTCAGAAGAGCTTATTAGCTTAATATTGTCAGTGCTGGACTAAGTATATCACCTATCTCCATCTAAACCATTGAAGAAAATAATATTGTGTAGGGCTGGTCCTGGGAGAGCAAGCTTCTTAGATAAATTATCTTTTTAATTTGACAGAATTACTACTCTTTCAGCACAGTTTACCAATTATTTTTCTCAGTTACATTCCAACAGTTTCATAAAGATGATTTCTCCTTCCCCATATGTGGTTGATCATACATTTTTAATTTGTCTTCCCTTTCTGTTGGTCTCACACCTGTCTTTCTTTCTACAGAGGTAGATGAGCCCTTAACCAGCAATGCCTACACACATCTTCATTAACCAGCAGATATTTTAGCTAGAAAGTAGAAAGAATCAACTGTCTGACAGATTGCTGGTTCTTAAATTTACCATCTTAATTGCCCATATTTTTGAAATTAAAGTAGGAACAATAATTACATTTCCAGACTTCTGTCAAAGAGCTACAGATCAATAAGAAATATGTGGCATTAAAACAAGCAGAATTAAAATATTTTGGGTCCTAGCTCACATGTAGTCTTTTGCCTTGAGACATAGTACTAGGTATCAAATTACTTAACTATTGCTGTAGGTCTTGAGGTTATGGAAACTCAGGTTTTGTGAGTGGTCAAGTATTACATGCTTTTAGTCCCAAAAGTTTGCTTTCACATGAACATATGTGTGGGAGATGAAATAAAAATAGTTTACATTACATAGAAACGGCAATGGTCATTGGTTGCAATGGGCAAATGATAGCAACAATAACTGGAAAATAAACTGAAAAAACCCCAAACAATTCAGGAGTGTTCTGCTTGAGTTTCATCCACTGTTAGCAAGTTAAATAACATAAAACTAGGGCATCATTTAAATAGTGGTTTACCATTCTAATTACTGCTGAAAGGATTAGTCTGAAGCAAGAAATATGATGAATGTTACTTATGGAAGACTTCTGAAAGTTGCAATACTGCTTTCAAGCAGAAGGCTTTCTTATTCTAATAAAAATGCACCTCTTCAGGCATTCTGTATATCAGGTCCAGGTATATCCTGGACAGTTGACTGATATTGCTCCAATATACTCTAATATAATCTGCAAAAGGTTACCTCCTGGTAAATTTTACACGTGATTTTTCCACTGAACAATTCAGGGGTAATCTCAGTGGGACTCGGGCTTCAAGCAGTCTGGTCAATCTATCATACCTTTCTGGAGTGCCCTTTCTTGGAGAATTTGTTTGAATACTCATTCAACATGTAGACACGATTAGGAAGAAAAAGTCAGTGGGTTGTTACTGTGTTGAATGAAAAAAACGGTCCAAGAAGTCTTTTTGGAAGGTGAAAACCAATGCAATTAAAGTGAAGTTCTGTGACCATTTTATATTAACATTTTCTTTCCCAGTCTTTTCTTTAACAGTTTAAAATTCCTAGAAGCCAAAGTAATTACACTGCAGGAATTTCACCTCCCCTAAATAGTACTTTTTACAGTGCCATGTTTCAGTGGAAGTCCCATGAACAACAACGTGCCTTGGACCAGGCCAGGATAAATTTACTTTTAAGATGCATAGTAGTTTCAGGACTGATAAAACTGCTAGATGAAAGGTTGGGGAGTTCAGTGGAAAAACATGTTTAGTATAGCTCTCACTGAGAGTTTGGAGATCTTTTCTTTTCTTTCTTGAAACTCTCAGAAGATCTCAGGATTTTTACCCTAATCTACAGATAATCCCTCTGAATAACAGAAGTAAAGCAGTCCTACATACATAATGTGAAGCAGAAAGGGAGGTTTCTTTGTAATTTTCAGCTTTCTCTATAGAGAGTGAGTGAACACACTTCAAAAAGCAGAAATTAGTTTGAAATTCTAAAACCCAGAGCAGGAAAACTACATGAATCTTGGCATGCAAGAATAAGTAAGATTATGACTACATGAGAGTCTTTAAAAATATGACAACGCTCTGCACACTGCATGTTGTTGAAGAAGGTTCTTCATATCGTTCAAGATCTTGGCAAAAACTAATCTGTGATCTGAAAAAGGTAATTGTTTTCCCGATGAAGGTGTATTTCTCTCCACTTCTCAAAGGAGTAGGAATGAAGAGTGGGGCAAGGTGAAACCTGAACTGACACAAAATAACTGATGGTGGCTTGACTTATAATTTTTGCTTTAGTTAATTACTCCATGGCTGCATCAAGAAAATACTTTTTTATTGTGTGGGGACCAGCTGCTGGGTCTTCTCAAGCTAACCAAACTTGACACTCTCACTATGTTGTATAAGCAGTATATATTAGGTCTAGGAAGAGATTTTACCCATTGCAGTAAAACCCACTAAACCACTAAATTTTCCTTTGTGGAAATACTTATTACTGGAATATTTGATATCTCTGTATATAGTATTTTTTAATGGAATTGTTATTAAGTTAATAATTACTTGTTCATAAAGTAGTACAGACTTTCTTGGTCATGTATAGTCGAAGACACATCTCAGTTTACTTATCTTGCCTTTTCTGCAGATTTAGAGTATCTCTCAAACTTAATTTAATACTACCCAGTGCTATGCACTTAACTGTGTCAATCTACCACTCTCCTCCTATCCCTCCAACCAATAATGCAATTGCAAAAGCTACTGACCTTCCTGATCCTACTTGCTTTGTATTAGTAGCTTCACTTAGTACATACTTAGTGCTTCTCAAGAGTTAGGCTGCAAGGAAGCTCTAGTGCTGGATCACAGGGAAGCAAGAACCATGGCAGGTCCTTTCCTTCCCTGGCAGGAAGGGGGCACATGGTGCCAGGGTACCGTCCTGCCACGGTGCGCAGCTTCACACGTGATGATGGCTTGCTGCTGGTTCAGTGCTCCTCTGGCTGGGTTCCATGTTTTCCGTCAAGCCGTCTGCCAGTACAGCTTCGTTATGGCCCTTTGACATGCCCGGGAAATGGCATCTCACCTGAACCACTTGTGACTTCAGTTTACTGAGATGCACGGTCAGCTGCTTCTGCTTTATAGTTTTGTTTACAGCCTGTGTTTGCTGCGGTTGAATACTTCCTGATTTATGTCAGTGTGATGTCAGAGCAAGCCTTTCAGTTTGGATCTCTGTTGAAATCTTATCTTGCAAACAGTAAGAGTTTGCTACTGTCAGTATCTGAACATGGTCATTTCTGTTTTCCTCACTTTAGTAGCATCAGTTTGTTTTATATAGTGATGGTCCTACCAGCTGCAAACACCATATTCTGCTTCAGCCAAGTCTAGGTTATTAGGTTATGAATGCTAAAAATTATGAGCAGTGCTTTAATTTGCATAGTTATATCCACACATCATCCAGAGTGAATAAAAGCCAGATTGCAAAATAATTACAATCTCTTGAAGTAGAGCCAGCTTCACAGACCAGATCCATCTGTCTTCATTAATTTGTATACAGTCCTTTTACCAGAACAAACTTTCTGAAGGTACTCACATGGGAATGCTGAAACAGCTGCACAACTTTTATTTTGAAGAAAAAAAAAGTTGAGCCTCAGAACAGTGTGTTTAAAGAGAGAGAGAGAGAGAGTGACTCTGCATTTAGGACTTTGACCAGCATGTGTAAGAAATGCTCTCATGGCTGTAATAATCTAACAGTTTTTTACCTGGATAGCCCTTGGCAAAGCTCCTCTTTTTCCCTTATACAGTTGAAAGGAATCCAGTGTGATTCTGTACTTCGATCAGCTTGACTCCAGTTTTGCACAGCCTGCCCGCTTTGGTAGTGCACGGCCGTGCCTGGCTTCTTGTGGCCTCTATGGCCCTTTTCTGCTCCACTGTCAGAAAGAGGGAGGGAGGCTTCCCCCAGTACCAAAATATCATTCTGTGTGCTCTCTGCAGCAGAGTAGCAAAGAACAAGTTTCCTGATTACTGCCTCATCTTTTTGGAGTTACTTGCTGGAAGAAGTCTTTTTCCCAACTTTAAATGGATGATTGTGTTACAATCAAGAAAAAGCATCTCCAAAGACCAATCTTTAGGTAAGTGATGCTATTATTAGTTTGAACTGAAAACGTGATGAGCTTTACTCTCTGCATCCTGTCTGTTAGCTTAAAGTTCATATGCAAATACACAAAAAATTGTTCAAGAGAAGGGTTTACTATTGTGTAGCCTAGTAATGTATCATGGGATTTTGGTGCTCAGAATATATTTTTTTCACTTGTTGAGACTTTATGGAAGTTCCTTTTCTTCTTCTCCCTATCATCTGCGTTCTCTGAAGTTTTGTGTGGGATTGTCTTTATTATGAAAGAGGAGCAGCATAGCTCTTGAAAACTTTTTTGTGTGTGTTTTGTTTTCCTACAGCTCTGCAGTCCCTCAGTGTATTCTGGAATTATAAAGCTGTTTTAAAGTGGAACAAGGTTCATGGTTGGTTTAGCTGATTGTGTCTGGATGGCAGAAATTTAATACTTGAAATGATACACCTTTCAGTGTAAAATAGCTTGCTTGCTGGGACATGCAGGCAAGTGCCTAAAGTATTACTAATCTGTAAGACTTTTCTGATAGAAAGGGTTGAAGTTTAAAGAGTAACAAGTTGGAGTTTTTTGTGAGGTGGTTCTTCACTTCTTATATATGTTAGTTCAATCTATGAATCATCTTTCTTATTATTCTGTATTTTAAAGGCAAATACAAAATTCTTTTTACAGATCAGGATTAGATCTAGTTTACTTGTGCTTTTTATCACGGGAGAGCCCTCTCCTTCCTTTGGCCAGACCTAGCTTCAGACCAAGTGATCTTGACCAGGAAATAATGTTTCTCAAACTATAGTGAATAAGGATGCAGTGTCAGTAAGGTTAAATAAACCTGCAATAGTTCACACTTCTGTTTATGGCTGGTGACATCTATAACAAAACTCCAGCTCTTACTGGGTGACATCAGCAGGATACTGTAACCGCAGTGTTGATATGACAAATAAATATAAGATGGTCCCAGAGCATATACAGGATTGTTATTTACTGGATAGCCACTACTGATGTCACATGTTATGGAAGTACATAACAGTTGGTATTGCAGCTCCAGAGTGAGTTCAGGCAGGTAGTCATGCCAGGATTATGTCCTACTGCTACACGTGGAGAAATCTTTCGGTAGTGTTACAGTGACAGTGCAGAAAGAGAGTCTGGACATTAAAAGGTTACTATGGGTGTTAAATGACTTAACCTTAAATCTGAAGCTCCTGTGTGGATGTGCTATGCAATTTATATCATAAATTAAACATTTTTCGCTTTAATAAAGTGGAGCTAAGGTATTTCACAGAAAGTTTATGACTGACGATTAAGAGACATTTTATATTTTCCTTGGGTGGTGTTTTTTAAGCTAGTAGTTCAGTTGAATATATTTCTGTTTAAATGTCAATCATTATTTTTCAAGGCTCTATGATAATTTTCCCATAATCTATAACGTAAGTATATTTTAAATGCACATTCTTAACAGTCTTTTACGGCTATTACAATTGTGGATGAATAAGTGCATATTTCCTGAAGTATTTGGGAATCTGCTATACAAATCTGCTGTAGCTAGTGTAGTACTGAATAGTTTGTAAGAGCTTTCTTAATGGATGTTTCCCTAAATTGTCTTGTGGGAGTGAACTTAACTCAATGAAATAGAGTAAGTTTCAACATTTCTTACCAAAATCCATTCCTGCAAATCAGTTCTAAATACAGAACAGCAACTAAATACTGTTGGCATGCTTAATCCAGAGCAAGAAAACCCCTAATATGGAAAGCCCCCAAAGAGTCATGGCTCTGCAGTGACTCTTCTGGCAAAAGATCTCTGTAATAATACAGTAAATGCTTAAGAAACGTTTCCAAGGTCAAGACCAGCACAATATTTTAGGCAGCTCAAACAGAAAGACAATCTCTGTATGCCATAAAGATAGTATCATGTACAGTAAATACAGATGCTATCATAGTACATTAAAGAGCAGGCTTTTTTAATGTGTCCATTTTTCTTATGACTTTGGAAAATATTCCTTCGGTGAAAAAGTGTTCATATATGAGAATTGTAAAGATTTAGTCTCAGTCCTTTCAATCCTGTAATTTTCTTTCAATGTAGGTGAAATAGTTTTACTGAGCAAAAACCTTACCTACTGAATCAGTAAGCTAGTCAATTTTTCTCTCTAAAAGAAAAGATAATATAAAATTACCCAGATTTTGTATATATTTATAGCTATCCATGTTTCAGCTACAGCTAACACTAATTATGGTTACTCTTAAAAATCTTTTTTTTCTTGAGAGCTATGTCAGAACTTATAGGTACATATGAATTTCTTCCTACTTAGCAAAGTTGCATATACAGTGGATCTGTACTTTTACTTGAGTTGCCTTCCCAGTAATGTAAAAAAAATAGGTTAAGTATCTATTCTAAATAATCTCTTCAATATCACCAGTCTTCTTCATAAGAGTTAGATAGATATTATTCTTCAAGATGGGAAACTCAACAATAAAAAAATTGTTTCTGACTAATTTTCAAATTTTTTATTTTATTTGAATTTATAAAGAAGCAAAACCATAAAAATACGGGGAGCAAAGTGTAACTTTTGGTATTTGCTACCCAGTAGTGCTTGGAAATAACTAAAAAATCCATTCAGAAATATAACTGTGTAAAAAAGCCAAGTTTATGAATCATGTTGAACTGATTACTAAAGCACATCAGTTTGGATAAAATTTTGTAATTGCATCAGAAACTGACTGCCAAATACTTAGAGATTCCTGCATTCCTTAACAGTAAAAGAACAGTCTGTTGTATGCAAAGATATATTTCAAGAGAACTTGTAGGTTGAATATTCACTGGCTATTTTAAAGCTGATACAAATTACTGAGATCATTCCATATTTTTATTAAGAACAGCATCTTAAGTATGTTTGCAATAACTGGAGATTGTGAAATTAATTTAAACAATAAACAAATCAGCTTTCTCAGAGAAAGCAGTGGGAGCTTCATAGCTCTGACATTTAAAATTGGAATGAATAAAGCCATATAAAATGTGCTTTAGGGAACAAATCCTTCCCTGCCAACTGCATAGATTAGATGACATAATAGGTGTTTTAGTTCTCAAATTTCTATGATTTCTGTTAACATAAGAATCTACACTGTGTTAGTCAAAGCTTATACTGAAGCTAACATTTTTCTGCAGTTTGCTTCAGTCCTTGAGGGGGTGGAGTGGGGGGATGGGATTATATGATCTTGATCTTCCTGGTCATTACTGTGAATGGAAGGAAAAGGATCAGAGTATCACAAGAGAAGTTATTCTTTCAGGGTCTGCCTTGGCAGGATCCAAGAAATCCTGGAATTATTTCAAGAAAGCCACAGTCTTTGAGATTTCCAAATAAATGGCAGCTGGATAATAACAAAGAACTTATCCTTGCTAACACCTTTGATTTAAGGCTTTTAGTGTGTTTTAAAAGTATTAATGTGGCAGCTACAAAACACTTCTCTTTTCTGTTTTGCACGTTTTCCATGGTCTTAGGCCATTCTGGATCAAGGCTTTTCCCTTAGGGTAGGAGGGACAGGAAAATAGGGCTTACGGTGCTGAAAGTAAGAAAAGAACAAGGGTGAAAACCACTTGTTTTCCAGGTCTTCAGGGAGCTCTATTACCATCATTTCTATGGTGTCTGCATATGAGAGAAGCTCCTTGTATGATTGCCGTTGTTCAGGTATCGCTGTTCATTATATGTATGAATGCTGTATTAACTGCAATTAACAAGACTGGATCTTTCTGTAACTTTGTATTCTTGATTACTAAGAAAATGACTCAGTCAGGTCCTTTGGTCTCTCACTTCTTGTCTCTTAAAAAATATATATGGCTGATTAATTATTTTATTCTATACTAAAAGCAGCTCCAAAAACTAGATGCTGATGCTTACGGTAATCCACTGGCAGAAACTATTCCAATGTGTTTTTTTAGACCACTACAGACCTCATATACACTGTATATACTGTACAGCATGTTGTAAATGTCTTCAGAGACCTGGTTTCCAGAAAAAAAATTACATTGCTGTAATTTGTAGAATAAGAATAATCAATAACTTTTGAGGGTTCTTTTCCACTTTCATGTGGTGTAATAAAATATAGAAACAGCATGTTCTGTGACTTCTAGACATTATAAGTTTTTGGCAGAGACTCTTTTCATCTTGAAAAAATGTACTAACAACTACTTTCTAGCAAAAAAATCACCACCACAGTAATGCCCTTACATGGCTTCTCTTTCTTTTCTTTCTTTTTTAACCTCCTCTGGACACTCAAAATATTCAAGAGTTTTACAAAGTAGAAGCTAATACATGCTCATGCTATGCTAATATATTTTTCCCCCTATTTGTGAATACTATCTTACTCTCTTGTGTCTTCAATATAGTATTTACTGCATAGGGATATTTGTGTTTTGTATGGGTATAACTGGTGTTTGCACCTTTTCAGTTAGTGTCTGTAGAAAAGGTACCCAATAGGAATAACATATGAAGAGGAGCCAAATCACTCAGTAAACAATAAACAAAATACGTACCTGTCGGCAGCCCAGAAAGTAGCAGATTTTAGCTGCTTAGAAACTCATAAAAAGGGGATTGTTTTTTTTCTCCCTGTACTTGTAGTGGCCTTCAATTTTTTATTTTCTTTATACAGTGTGTTGGGGATAAGCAGTTGTATGGAAAACTTTGCCAGGTTTATGTTGAATCGTGCACTGCAGTTACGATGAATGCACATTATATATCATTATTGCTAGTGATAGCTTAATTGTAAACTAATGTGGCATATTAACTTAATGAGTGACAATTTATTCCTGTGGTGTAGGAGGAAGGTGGGCAGGGAAGAGAAGATGCACTCATCCTTTGCTTCTAGCTCTAAGAAAAGGCTGGAATATAAAAACATGCTGCCACAAAAGGACCCTGAAATCATAGTCTGTTTCTTGATTGCCCCTATGTGGCTTTAATGGCTAGACTGATGGGCTACACTGGTACCCTAGAATATTGCATAGCTGTGTGCTGATTTAAACC